CATCATCGTCCACAAGAGCAGCTTTCAACTGGCTGCGGAAGGGGCAGCGAGGATTCTGAAACATGCAGCACCTGACCATGTAGTCAGGGGCGCTGACCTCTTTTCTCTGAGGTTGACAAATAAAAATGGCAACAGCCAAAACAACAAATAAAATGAGCCCTGGCCAGTTTGGGTCAATGGTTAGAGCGTCGGACTGCAGTCCAGAGAGACCCGGGTTTGGTTCCTGCTAGGGGCACGTACCTCGGTTGCAGTTTGTCCCTGGCCCTGGTTGGGTCGGTGGCAACAACTCGATGTGTCCCTTTCATGTGGATGTTTCTCTCTCTCTCTCCTCTTCCGTTCCACTCTATCTGAACAAAAATGGAAAAATGTCCTCGGGTGAGGATAAAAAAAAAGAAAGAAATGAAATAAAATAAAAAATTAAATAAAATAATAAAATAAAAATAGACAAATAATAAAATAAATTAAATATAATATAATATAAAATAAAATAATGGCCTCCACTAAAAAGACACAGCAACAAACTGCAATGCCTGTTTGGATCTTGGACCATGAAAAAGGAATAACTACAAAAGATATTATGGGACACTGAACAAAAGTTAAATGTAGATTATGGATATGAAAATAATATTTTATTAATTTAACTGTCCTAATGTTGATAATGATACTGTGCCTATGTTCTTAGGAAATATTTCGAGGTAGAGGGTCATAATATCTTTAACTTAGTCTCAAGTGGTAATAATATATATATGTTTATATATTATCTAAGTATACACACATATACTACTTGTATATAATGACTGAACAAATGATGGAACAAATAAGGCAAAATGTTATCAGTTGATGAATTAGGTAAAAAGCATATAGGAATTCATTTTTTACAGGAATTTTTATATCAACATTAAAAGTTACTTAACTAAAATATCAAAGTCTTCAGCCTGCAGATGTGGACAGTTTGGCTGTGCAGCGTTTCCTTATCTTTACGTCTTTGAGTTTTCTGACACAGAAAATCTTGAGACCTGTGTCCAGGGGTTAAGTTGTGCAACCAACTAATGTGTATCAGTATGAAAGGATAAAAATATAAAACTGAACTAATAGACCAATAGTCTCCCCACAGCCTCAGTAAAAGTTAGCAGCTGTGTACCAGGAACAGCGTGTCGAATGACAGGCATGAGGGTTAAGAATGTCCCTGTCCCTGTGTTTTCAAAATCCCTTTCAGTTTCTAAAAACAGGTATGTTTGTGAGATATCAGAAAATATAAAATGCCCCAAGTGAGGCCTGCCTTAAGGGAAAAAATGAGGACTTTGTTTTCAACACTCTTCTCTCCTATCTTTTTTGTGTCACCATAGTCTGCGAAGAGCATCCGCGTCCCCAGCCTCTCAGCTGCATCTCGGCAGGGTTGCTCTTCCTTCCTGTTTGATTTAGACCCGCTGTTTCTTCACCTGGACTCCTAGGTTCAGCCCACCCTCTCGTCTTAGCGACATCTGCAGTTGTGACTCACTTCTCTCATGGGACAAGAGTTTTCTAGCTCAGCTGAAGGATACAACTAGATATGGCCAGCCCTGGCCAGTGTGGCTCAGTTGGTTGAGCATCATCCCATGGACGGAGAGGTTGCTGATTCCATTCCTGGTCAGGACACATACCCAGGTTTTGGGTTTGTTCCGTGTTGGGGTGTATGCGGGAGGCAACCGATCTATGTTTCTCTCTCACACTGATGTTCTCTCTCTCTCTTTCTCTCCCTCTCCCTTCCTCTCTTTCTCTAAAATCAATAAAACAAACAAACAAACAAACAAACAAACAAACAAAAGCAATTCATTCTTCTGTTTGAGGACAGGTTATTTTTGCTTTCTGCTATTAAGAACCTTGCTGCTATACACCAAGAACATTTACTAATTACAAAAGAAAACAATTAAGTGGAGAAACTATGACCTTAACAAAGTAATCAACATGAACCTCACTGATAATGGGCAGATACTGTGTTTCTCCCATGTGACAACAGTGGGAGGTAAAATTGCTTCTGTGGTTGGTATTCTAGCCAAACGAGCTTATCTGAATCTAACCATGAGGAAACATCAGAGAAACCCCAAATGAGGGAACTTTTTAAGATAATGGACCTGTATTCTTTTTTAAAATAGACTTTTTAAAAAATATGTTTTTATTGATTTTTTTAGAGAGAGAGGAAGGGAGAGATAGAAACATCAATGTGAGAGAGAAACATCAATCACCCCCTACTGGGGATCCATCCCACAACCTGGGCATGTGCCCTGACAGAAAATTGAACCGGGACCTCTCAGTCAGTGGGATGTTGCTCAATCCATTGAGCCACACCAGCCAGGCTAAATAGACTATTTTTAAGAGAAGTTTTAGATTTGCAGCAAAACTGAGCAGAAGGTATAAAGATTTTCTATACACCCCCTCCACTGCATACAGTCTCCCCCACTATCAGAATCCCACGCCAGAGGGGTACGTCTGTTATAACTGATTGACCTACACTGACACATCATAATCACCCAAAGTTCATAATTTACATGAAGTTTTGCTCTTTTTAAAATTTTACCTTTAGCCCTGGCCGGTTTGGCTTAGCAGTTAGAGCGTCGGCCTGCAGTCCAGAGAGACCCAGGTTCAGTTCCTGCTAAGGGCACGTACCTCGGTTGCAGTTTGTCCCCGGCCCTGGTTGGGTCATGCGGGTGGCAGCCACTCGATGTGTCCCTTTCACATCGATGTTTCTCTCTCTCTCTTCCTCCCTCTCTATCTGAACAAAAAATAGAAAAATGTCCTCGGGTGAGGATTAAAAAAATTTTTTTACTTATATTTATTTATTTTTTAATCCTCACCTGAGGATATTTTTCCATTGATGTTTTTCAGATAGAGTTGGATGGAGGGAGAGAAAGACATACACATACACAGAGCGACTGGTTGCCTCCAGCGCATAATCCCAACTCAGGGGGGTGGTGGAGGATTAAACCCCCAACCAAGGTATGTGCCCTTGACAGGGAATCAAACCCATGACTCCTCCATCTGCGGGCCAAGGCTCTAACTGCTGAGCCAAACCGGCCAGGGCTGAGGGTTCACTCTCGATGCTGTACATTCTATGGGTTTTGAAAAATGTATAGTGACACTTATCCACCATTATAGTATCATACAGAATAGTTTCTCTGCCCTAAAAATTCTCTGTGCCCTGCCTACTCATCTGTCCCACCCTCCAACACCTGGCAACCACTGATCATTTTACTGTCTTCATAGTTTTGCCTTGTCCAGAATGTCATACAGTTGGAATCGTATAGGATGTGGCCTTTTCAGATTGGCTTCTCTCAGTCATAGTCATTTGAGGTGCCTCCATGTCTTTTCATGGCTTGATAGCTCATTTCTTTTTAGCACTGGATCCTATTCCATTGTCTGGATATTCCACAGTTCATTCATTCATTCATTCACCTACTAAAGGACATCTTGATTGCTTCCAAGTTTTGGCAATTCTGAGTAAAACTACTATAAACATCTGTGTGCATGCTTTTGTGTGCACATAAGTGTTCAACTAATTTCAGTAAATACCAAGAAGCATGATTGCTGGATGGTATAGTAAGGGTATGTTTAGTTTGGCAAGAAATCATCAAACTGTCTTCCAATGTGGCTCTACCATTTTGCATTCCTTCCAGCAATGAATGAGAGTTCGAGTTGTTTCACATCCTTTCCCGCATTGAGTGTGGTCAGTGATTTGGATTTTGACCATTTCACCCATCTTTTGAGGCACACGTACACATTTCTGGAGTATATTCGAAGAGTGGAACCGCAGGGCTGTAAGGTGTTGCATCTTCAACTTGGCTAGCTAAATAGTCTACAAAGTGCCACTGACATCCTTATTAATTTTAGTCACCTTTCTCTCTCACTAAAAAGTAGGGTGGTCAGTAGTATAGGCAAAGTGTAGGCCTTGGACCGGAAGCATCAGCCTTATCAGGTTCCTGGCTGGAAATACAAACCTCAGTACTATGCTAAGTGAAATAAGTCAGTCAGAGAAAGACAAATGCCATATGATTTCACTTATATGTGGAATCTAAAAAACAAAATAAACAAAGTTGAAACAGACTCCTAGATACAGAGAACAGATTGATGGTTGCCAGAGGGGGAGGAGTTGGGGAAGTGGGTGAAAAAGGTAAAGAGATTAAAAAGTGCAAATTGGGCCCTGGCTGGTTTGGCTCAGCAGTTAGAGCCTCAGCCCACAGACCAGAGAGACCCAGCAGGTTCCCACTAAGGGCACATACCTGGTTGCAGTTTGTCCCCAGCTTTGGTTGGGGTCGTGTGGGTGGCAGCCAGTCATTTATCTCTCTCTCTCATATCGATGTTTCTCTCTCTCTTCCTCCCTCCCACTCCATCTGAAGATAAATGCAAAAATGTCCTCAGTGAGGATAAAAAAAAAAAGTACAAATTGGTAGTTACAAAGTAGTCAAAGGGATCTCAGCATAGGGAATATGGTCAATGATACTGAAATAACTAGGAAGGGTGCGACGTTGGCACTGGAAACACGGGGAGGGGGTGGGGTCTTTTGTAAAGTATGATTGTCTAACCATCTAAGACTAATACAAAATTATATTGAATGTAAACTGTAATTGAAAAATAAAATAAAAAGATCATTAGAATACATTCTAAGTCACAACTCTGTGTGTGTGTGTGTGTGTGTGTGTGTGTACACTCAGACCCCCCACCCTGCTCTTGCTGGATCAGAAACTGGAAGTACAGCCCAGGAATCTACATTTTCACAAGTCCTCTAAGTGATTATAAAGTTTAAGTGGCGCTATCTATGATCCATTAGCACAAAGCCTGGCTTGCAGACTGCCGTCCCCAAACCAGGGCGCCCCATCACGGGTGGGACGGTGTAGGAACCAGAAGGCAGAACGCCCTTCCCAGAGCACCCTCCCTACGCCGGCAGCAGCAGGGACCCTCCGTCTGGGTAGGGAGGGCCGGCCGGACGGGGCGGGCCAGAGGCTGGCGTCCCCGCCTTCTAGGCATTCCGCCCGCTGCAACGTGCCGTCCTCCTTCCTTTCCTTCTTGCTCCTTTCCTTTCTCCCTTCCGCCCGGCGCGATGGAGCCCGGACGCGGGGCGGCCGCGGCGCTGCTGGTGCTGCTGAGCTTCGGCTGCGCGCTGCGCCCCGGGCGCGCCCAGTACGAGCGCTACAGCTTCCGCAGCTTCCCGCGGGACGAGCTGATGCCGCTCGAGTCGGCCTACCGGCACGCCCTGGACCAGTACAGCGGCGAGCACTGGGCGGAAAGCGTGGGCTACCTGGAGATCAGCCTGCGGCTGCACCGCCTGCTGCGCGACAGCGAGGCCTTCTGCCACCGCAACTGCAGCGTGGCGCCCCAGCCCGAGCCGGCCCCCGGCCTCTCCCGCTACCCCGAGCTGCGCCTCTTCGGAGGCCTGCTGCGCCGGGCGCACTGCCTCAAGCGCTGCAAGCAGGGCCTGCCAGCCTTCCGCCAGTCGCAGCCCAGCCGTGAAGTGCTGGCCGACTTCCAGCGCCGCGAGCCTTACAAGTTTCTGCAGTTCGCCTACTTCAAGGCAAGTCCTCCCCGCCCTTCGACCACGCCTCTTCCCCGCCCCAGGCTTAGGCCACGCCTCTTCCCCGCCCTAGGCTCAGGCCCCGCCCCAGGCCCAGGCCCCGCCCCTTTGCTCTGGCCTGCGTTCCGCCGCCTTCTCTGGACCCCGCTGTCTAATACCCAGATCTGGCAAACGACGCCTCCAAATCCTGTCCCCCTTCTTTATCTTAGAGATGAAAATACTTCTCTTGACGGGTTGTTCTAAAGCAAGGAACGCGTGCGTAGAACATGTGGCGCGGTGTTTGCCACCCAACCAAGTGCCCGATAATTGTGACCTGTTATTGGAAGACAGACCCCTCTTTTCAGTATATGCCATTAAAGCCCCCCCCCCCTTTTTTCGAGTGGTGACTTTCAATAGAGTCGAAGAGGACCTGAGGAGCTGCCTAGTTCCTTTTCTAAAAGAGGAAATTGAGGCCAGGAACCGGCAGGAACACGTGGGGAGGATACATCCTGCCTGTCTGGAGGAGCAGAATTTAGCACTGATTCATCAGGGTTGGCGCTCTCCGCTGTCTGTCTTTCATCTAGAATTTAATTTAACACAGTTGCCTTCCTCCCTTTTGCGGCTGCTTTGATTCTGTCTGTGATTGCTGGCTAAAAATAGCCACTAATTACAGTTCTTTATCCTCTGAGAACTTACTCGGGGGACCCACAAGTTTTAAGAATGGGCTGAATTCCCTATTACTGGATAAACGGGCTTTAACTTGGCAGGTCTTCACCGGCTTTTGCCAAGTGAACCCTCTCAAAGCCCAGATTCTGCTTTAATTGAAAACGATTTTTAAAACAATATATGGCATTTATTTTAATGACTGCAAAATTAGTTGCATGGCAGTTGCCAGACTCTGGAGGTAGAAGTTGGTTGTTTTGTTTGACTTCGCTTTGAGTCTTTGGCCTGCAAAATCTGTTTTTCCATTGAAACAGCCACGTGTGTGTTTCATTCATATGAGCAATAAAATAGACCCAAACCCCGAATAGAAGAAAAACTGGGCTATTTTATGCTTGGGTACAGTTTTATATAACATATCAGTTTTGTGACTGTTTGTCCTGGCAATAAAAAAAGGTTTAAAATGGAACCAGGGATAAGATTAATACATTTCCAGGACGTTGAAAAATGATGGCTGGCTCATGCAAGCACTATTTTTTAAGCTAAAAGTGACTTGTTCTCTCTCTTTTTTGTATAGCTTTTGGCAAATACAGTCAGAACCAAAACTGAATCACATAATCAAGGGGGAAACACTTTATTTTTAAGACTTGAGAATAGCAAAAGCTCTGATTTTATAAGTGTGTAGATGAATTTGAATCAAGTAACAGGGAGGAGGGGAAGAACATTTTACTCAATGGGACCCTAAGGCCTGGGCTTTCTCCTTCATCATGGCATCCTCACAGGTGAAGAAGTCGACAGCTTCTCTTCAAAAGCCCTTTAACAATCTTGTAACAATCACTTATTTAAAAGTCAGTAAAATACCATCTGCCTTAGTATTTTGAGATCTCTTATAGGGCAGAAAAACATTAAGAATTGCATTAATATATATTAAGAATCTTCATGGCTTCAACTGAAAATCACTGGGAAAGTGATTTTAGGTGGTGATACTGTATATTTTTTTGTGTTTTTTTTTTTTTTCCTTAATGATGTTTATATTTTCAGATTTTGTTTCTGGGTGCAAAGAAAACGATTGGTGACAGGCATATACGTGCCACCTGACACCCAGAGGCTAGAGGTGGATGGTGCTGCCTGCCGTGGCAGGATTTGGGTAGATGCTCCTGTACCAGCCTGATTTGCAGGCCTCTGTTTCAGTGATTAAGGACAAATGCCTGACTTGAACACACGGAGAGGGAGAGTGAGTTCAGACTGTCAGAGAGGTGAGGAAGCGTGGATGTGTGATCTTGTAGACAGGGGGCCATCCTCCTGGTGTATAGCCCTCAAGCCCACTATAGATTTCATGTCACCAGCCTAGTGTAGGTTCTTGTCACTCAGTGGACTCTCTCTGTGACTCCTCTCTCCTTGAAATGCTCATCTTCCCCACAGGCCAAGGGAAAGTGGGCTCCAGTGTCTTATCAAATCCTCAATGACTTTGAACTCTGAGTAGAGAGAGCTGGCTACCTGGCAAGTACTGCCTTTTGCCTGGACGTGGACTCTGCTCTTTCCCACACCGGAGGGCCTGCCACACTGACTTAGGAGTGCCTCGTTTGGCAGGTAGCTGGGGTCTTCTCATGCAGGTGACTGTCTCTCAGGAACCCATGGCAGGGGAGGGGCTCCCACCCACCTTCTCCAAAACCTGGCTGGGGTCTGTTGGAGGTTTAGCTGCCAAGATGTGGCTTCATGTTCTAGCTGGCAGAGCCTGAGTTAAAGTGAATAAAATCACCCTTTCCTCTTCGGGAAGGGATTCCAAGTAAGAGGCCTTGAAAATCCCACTCTGTGCCCCCTTTCTAAGTGCCCTTCTGAGAATCAGAGAGTCTAATTTCATTGGTAAACGCTCTAAAAGGGCTGCATTCATACCTCTGCCCTTCCTTCCAGCTGCCAGGCTGGCCTTTCTCCGGCCAGGACTGGAAAGCTCTCTGTAGAACTCTTTCAGACAGCCCCACTACGGCCTCAGACTGGCCTTCTCAAAACATCACCACCCACCACTTCTCTGTTGCAGCCGCGCCATGGTCTCGAAATGACTTGGCTCCAATTCGGGGAGAATTTCGTGCAGATATGTGCTATTGATTCTCAGCAATCCAAGTGTACCAACCATCCCTTTATTTTCTCTCTATCCAAACCTAATTCCCTAATCCCTGTCTCTGAGTCTCCCTGTGGATTGGCTGAAGGAGCCTCTGTGCACATGTATGGGTGCCTCCCCTGCCCCCACCAGGTTGAGCCATGATTCCAGGGGAGTCAGAGCCAGGACATCAATGTGGGGGACCCTCTGGTTGTTAGTCATGTGTCCACAGGGAGGTGTCCATATCCCTGTCTTCCTGCCCTCTTGAGCCTCCTCCCCCAACACATCATTCCTCCCTGAAGACTTCTGCCCTCCTGGGCTCTGCCCACAGGGTGGCACACTGCAGCCCCAGGCCCACAGACCTTGATTCTCCTGCAGATGCCAAGGGGAACTTTTTCTCTAGCCTAGGGGATTCTCTCTCCTCTTCTTTCAGGCCAACCAGCTCCTGCCCACATCTCCCTCTCCCAATTTCCTTCTCTCCTCACACTTGCCAAGTTCTCTCAAGAGCACAGGGCTTTGGCCATATGAGTAATTTCTGCATTTTGACCAGAAATTACCTCCTACAAAACAGTAAAACTCAGAATCAGTTGGCCACTGACAAACTGGGGAGAAGAGAAAGGGAAAAGGAGAGGAAAATATGGGTTAATTTTATGACAGTATTGTGTAGTCATAATGTCATATCCGAATCCCTGCCCCTGTGCCCTGTCTTGTCCCAGGAAGTGTGCCAGGCACGAGAAATGCAGACATGAATGACACTGCTGGGTCCTAAAAGGATCACAGTCTGGAGGGGAGATGGGTACAGTAGCTGAGCCCACAGAGCGGTGTGGAAGGCGGAAGACAACATGGGTAACATAGAAGAGAGGCTCTTGCCCTGGCTGGTTAGGCTCAGCGGTAGAGCTACAGGCCTGCAGACCAATGAGTCTCGGGTTCGATTCCGGCCAAGGGCACATACCTCGGTTGCTGTTCGTCCCCGGCCTTGGTCAGGGTTGTGTAGGAGGCAACTAGTCTACATGTCCCTCTCATGTCGATGTTTCTCTTTCCCTCCCACTCTATCTGAAGATAAATAGAAAAATATTCTTCGGTGAGGATTAAAAAAAAAAGAAAAAGAGGCTTTTAGTCAAGGTTACTAGGAGATAGGGAGAACTTACTTGAATGGTATATGGCAGGAAAGATATGGTATAGTCATTTGGATGACTGGAGGGACAGTTAGGTTCATTTTATTTATTTAAAAAAATTTTTTTCTTTATTTTTAGAGGGAAAGGGAGAGAGAGATAGAAACATTGATGAGAGAGAATATCGATTGGCTGCCTCCTGCATATCCCTACTGGGGATTTGGCCCACAACCTGGGCTTGTGCTGTGACCGGGAATCAAACTGGTGACCTCTTGGTGCATGGTTCGATGCTCAACCTCTGAGCTACACTGACCGGGCTATTTGTTTAAAAATGTTTTTATTGATTTTTTTTTTTTTTTTAGGGAGAGAGAGGAAAGGAGAGAGAGAGATAGAAACATCTGTGTGAGAGGGAAACATCAATCAGCTGCCTCCTGCATGCCCCATACTGGGGATCGAGCCCAAAACCTGGTCATGTGCCCCGACTGGGAATTGAACTGGGACCTCTCGGTCCATGGGTCGACACTCAGTCTACTGAGCCACACCAGCTGGGCTGGAGGGACAGTTATTAATTAGGTGGTTATTTACAAAGACTGGTAACAGTAGGGTGTGACCACCCACAGGCCACAGGGGCAAAGGAGAGAAACTATATGGAAGGGGCCATCTTGAGAGAAGCTGTGACCTTCAATTAAGGGATAACAGTAGCCTAAGGGGACTAGGCACAGGGGGGAACCAGGAGACCAAATAACCCAACTTCTTCTCTTCCTTTAGTTTCCTACTGGGATTCCTCATTGATGAACCCCACTGGAAGCTAGGGGGCCAAGGAATTTGTTGTTATGGTCCATAAAGGCCAGCTTCCTGGGGTACGTAGGGTGGAGACGGGGGAGCATAGATCGTGAAAAGCCCACCGAGGCCATCTCATCACTTTCTGGGGACTCAACACTCATCCAGAGTAGCTGGACCAGATTTTGATGGGGCATGGAAGTCCCTGAGCCTTCAGCCGGAAACATTGTGTAGAAACACTAAGTTACTGAAGGACCCAACTGACCTTGTATTGCAAAATCCATTGTTGCCCTTCGTTGAGGAACTTTGGTTTTTATTCTTTGTACTTTAGGCAAATAATCTCCCAAAAGCCATCGCAGCTGCTCACACCTTTCTACTGAAACATCCCGATGATGAAATGATGAAGAAAAACATGGCTTATTACAAGAGCTTGCCTGATGCCGAGGACTACATTCAAGACTTGGAAACCAAGTCGTATGAGGTATATTTGGAGTTTCACTCACTGGTCAGTCGCAACGTGAATTGTTGAAGTGTATCTCAGTGAACAGCTATAGACATCTAAGGACTTCTAGTGGCTTTTCATGACATTTGATGAATATCATGACAATAGATATGATTGGCTTTTTCGCACACATTTGATCCATTTAAGAGTGAGATCAGAGCGTTGGCCTGCGGTCCAGAGAGACCCAAGTTCGGTTCCCGCTAAGGGCACATACCTCGGTTGCAGTTTGTCCCCAGCCCTGGTTGGGTCGTGCAGGTGGCAGCCACTCGATGTGTCCCTTTCACATCGATGTTTCTCTCTCTCTCTCTCTTCCTCTCTCTCCCTCCCACTCTATCTGAACAAAAAATGGGAAAATGTCCTCAGGCGAGGATAAAAAAAATGAGATTTTACATTTCATAATGCTTTTAAAGCCACCTTTTTAAAAATACTACATTCTCTGTTCAGAAATATGGTCATTGATTGTTCAGTTTTATGATGGTAGAATAATGACATGTCTTGGAAATCATCCAAAAAATGACGAAGAACACAAGAAACAGAATCATGAGTTTCCCTTTCTGATAAAACCAGGAGACATATATATATATATTTTTTTTATCCTCACCCGAGTACATTTTTCCATTTTTTTGTACAGATAGAGTGGGAGGGAGAGAGAGGAAGAGAGAGAGAGGGAAACATCGATGTGGAAGGGACACATCGAGTGGCTGCCACCCGCACGACCAACCAGGGCCGGGGACAAACTGCAACCGAGGTACATGCCCTTAGCGGGAACCGAACCCGGGTCTCTCCGGACAGGAGACATATTTTTAAACACACACACACATAATATATATATGTATTAAGGTGGAAAGGGAATAGAGAGGCTCGGAAGATGGACTTGACAGATAGGAAGCTACCTTAACCTATGCATCTGAAGAGGAATTCTCATGAGAATTAATGAGGGCAATGAAAAGAGGAAGACCGCAACCCCTCTGAGCACCTACTATTGCCTGGGCCTGTGGAACTCAGGTACTGGGCCATGGGTACCAGTGGAAGGTAGGGCAGGATTGAAAACAGGGGGGTATGTTGAAAGTATCCATGGGGAGCCAGTAGAGCCCAAAGTCTAACTACTGCCAGCTTAATTTTTCACTAGTGGTGACCCTCAAACATAGTGTATGAAGTCTCTTTTCTGGGGTCCCTTTCGTTTTCCAGGGGAGAATTCTCCTGGCTGGCAGATGTTCGAGATTGTCTGCTGGTATCTGAGAGCCAGTCTGTGGAGAGGGATGGTGGTCTCACAGTTGAGTCAGAGACTCCCCTGTTTCCTGGTTTTCAGTTTTGGGGGTTTTTTTGTACATGCCCCTAGCGGGAACCAAACCCAGGACTCTCTGGTCCACAGACCGAGGCTCCAACCACTGAGCCAAACTGGCCAGGGCTGGTTTTCAGGTTTTTAAAAAAATCCTCACCTGAGGATATTTTTCTATTTATCTTTAGACAGAGTGTGAGGGAGGGAGGGAGAGAGAGAGAGAAACACTGATGTGAGAGACACATAGATTGGTTGCCTGAGGGCGTGGATCGAACTGCAACTGGGTACGTGCATTTGACCAGAATCAGAATCGAACCTGACTCTTTGGTCCTGGGCTGATGCTCTAACCACTCAAAGCTGCTTCCTGGTTTTCAGCCCTATGCCTCTGCTCTGCGTGGTCCCTGACCCCTCAGCCTTTAAGGTTAGAGTCTAGAATAATTCACCAGTCTGGGGAGGAGCTGCTTTGGAAACTTGGATCCCTTAGCTGGGCAGGTGGGTGCTGGGAGGGAACCTCGGACTCCAGCTCTGTTCAGACTTTCAGCTCTGCTCTCCATTCCGTGCCCTGCACCAGCCTCCATGGTCCCCTGTGCCTGCGAGTACCCATGGGGCCTGTCGCTGACTTCCCTTGAGGGCCCTCCTCTTTGATAATTTGGCTTTCTGTCTTCCCAAAAGCTGTTGAGAACTCCGATCTGCTCTTTATTCCTTTCCCGTTCTCCCATAAAAAGGATTTATGCCTTCTGACTTTCTTCGCTGTCATTTTGCACCAGGTTTGGGAGCAGAGCGGAGTGCACGCGGTCAGTGCACTGTGCTTCACTCAAGTAACTTGCCCTTCTATCCCCTTTGGAGTCCTGCTGGGTGTGGCGGGCGGCCCTCCGGTGTGCGCAGGGCTCCCTGTCGGCCTGGCCCTGCTGCTGTCGCTCTGCAGAGCCAGCTGCCCGGAGTGGCCGCTCCTTCACCCGGTGTCACGCCCAGGCCCCTTCAGTTCTCCGCTGTCTTGTTTCCCGGGGCTGCGGCCAACCCAGGAGGCTTAGGGAGATCCGTCCCCTCTACCAGAGGTCTTACACTTGGTGACAGTTCCAGGTCCAAAGGGTGTCCCTCCAATCCCCCTATTCCGGAGCAGCTGAAAAGGGACTCCAATTGGAGACTTCCCTGCCTCTTTCAAGGCTTGTCCTGGCCCCTCCAGGTTAGGAGGTTTTGGTGTGTCCAAGATCTCTACTTATTTTCTTGTGAGACCAAGTTGCTTCCTCAGCCCACGTTGTTTCTCTTACCCAGTCCGGTCAACACGCAGCAGACATTTCCTTGAGGTTCCCTCTGTCTGGCCCAGGGCTGCCCTCCTGAGTAACTGGGCTGATGTGTGGCCTTCCTGGTTACTGTGGCACTGTCAGGGGACAGGTGCCCCACACCTGCTCTCAAGCTCGTATCTTTTCCTTGATTCAATTTTTAAGGTCAGCTTTATTGAAATATAACTTATTTAAAATGTAATTACAGATTTTTAAATGTGCAAGTCAATGAGTTTGGACACATATATGCAGTCCTGTAACTACCACCATAATCATAATATAGAGTATTTTCATCTCCCCTAAAATGTTCCCTCCTGTCCCTTTGCAGTCAAGCCTTTGTCCCGACTCCTGACCCCTGGGGGCCACTGCTCTGATTTCTGTCACTATAGTTTCCCCTTTATCCTTGATTCAACCTCGATTTTATTAAGTGCCTGCTACTTTTTGAGTTAAATGAAATAAGAAGGGTACTGTTGCCCTGGCTGGTTTGGCTCAGCAGTTAGATGCCTGGGTTGTAGGCTCCATCCCCAGTAGGAGGCATGCAGGAGGCAGCCAATCCATGTTTCTCTCTCACATAGATGTTTCTATCTCTCTCTCCCTTCCTCTCTCTCTAAAATATCAATAAAAACATATATTTAAAAAAAACAATGGGCCCTAGTTGGCTTTGCTCAGTGGTTAGAACATCGGCCTGTGGACCAATGAATCTTGGGTTCAATTCCAGTCAAGGGCATGTACCTCATTTGTGGTTCGTCCCTGGCCCTGGTCTGGGTAGTGCAGGAGGCAACCAGTCGATGTGTCTCACGTCGATGTCTCTCTCTCTCTCTCTCTCTCTCTCTCTCTCTCTCTCTTTCTCTCTTTCCCCCTCCCTCCCACTCTATCTGAAGATAAATAGAAAAATATCCTCCGGTGAGGATTAAAAATAAAAAATAAATGGAAAAATATACTCGGGTGAAGATTTTCTTTTAAAAAAGCATGCCATTGTACACAGGGTAGGAAAAACTAGCCAGAAATAAGTCACTACCTGGCTTCCTGCTTAATTAAGAGGCAGCGTGGCTTCCTCAGAATCAGTGAGAAGGGAGCTCTGTGATGGTCTGATTCCTTTGGGGGGACAGGTCCACCTCCCGTTGTGTCAGGAGTGTCATGAGCTTCTCCTTGCTTCCCAGAGCCTGTTCATCCGAGCGGTGCGGGCTTACAACGGTGAGAACTGGAGGACGTCCATCACGGACATGGAGCTGGCCCTTCCCGACTTCTTCAAGGCCTTTTACGAGTGTCTCGCAGCCTGCGAGGGCTCCAGGGAGATCAAGGACTTCAAGGATTTCTATCTGTCCATAGCAGGTTGGTGGGGGTTGGATCCCAGACGTGAACGGGGCCGCTGCCCGTGGCCCCCGAGAATCCTTTGCGCGTGGCGGACACCTCCGTAGATCACACTGGCCAGGGCTTCCAGAGCCGTGGGGAGTGGACCGTTCAAGCCCAGACCTGCAGGGGAGGTTCGCCCTGCCGGCCCTGCCCAGGGACGGATCCCCGCAGGCTTCTGGAAAAGGAGAGACGGGCCCCGAGGACTCGTGCGTCACGCCACCGGCATAACTCTAACAGCTCAGCACACGTAAGGGGAGAACGAAGAGCTCAATGAGCTCTAAATAGTTGTCACTAACGTAAGAATTTTCTCATTATAAAACAAGGGATATTCATGATAGGAAGTTTAGGAAACACAGGAAAGAGTGAAGAAAGAACATTTAAAATGCCATCCAGACATAGCCCAGAGTTCCCTAGGTTTCTCTTTCACCTCCGGTGGGCAGCATCGTGCCAGGAAATGGGAACTGGCCACCAAGAGATTCCCAAGGCGGTGTGGGGACTGATCCCAGAACTGCACCTCGTGGAAAGGGGGCCCTGGTCAATCACATGAGTCTGGGAAGGAGCTGAGCACTGTCTCCTCTTGAGAATCACTGCTCACTTTAATGCTTAAAGGCTCATAGAAATCTTGTGGTGTGGCAGTTATTATTTTATTTTTTTGTTAATCCTCACCTGAGGATATCTTTTCCCTTGATCTTTAGAGAGAGAGGAAGGCAGGGAGGGAGAGAGAGAAAAACATTGATGTGAGAGAGACACATTGATTGGTTGCCTCCTGCACATGCCCTGACCTGGGCCAGGGATTGAACCTGCAACCCAGGTACATGCCCTTGCCTGGGAATCAAACCCAAGACCCTTTGGTGCATGGGGTGATGCTCTGTCCACTGAGCCACGTTGGCCAGGGCTTGGCAATGACTGAATTCAGGGTTTTCGAAATCATAGTTTTGCTCAGGTATCTCTTTTTTCACAGAGTACTTTTTTTTTTGGTCTTACCAAAACCTTTTTGTTGTGGAAAATTTCAGACATACAAAAAATAGAGAGAAGAGTATAACAAACCACTACGTACCCATGACCCAGGTTCACAATTGTCAACTCATCTCCTCTTGAGTTTCATCTAATTCCCACCTACTTCTCCTCTCTCATGTTATTTGGAAGCAAATTCCAGATGCTATATCACCACTCATAATATTTCAGTATAAACCTCTAAAAGATAAGAGCTCTTTTTTTCTCCAACATAACCACCAAACTATAGTACCTAAAGGATTTTAACAGTAATTCCTTGATCTCATCATCCAATATCCTGTGTCCCAGTCATCTCAGAAGTGTCATAAATATGTGTGTGTACCTTTAATGTAGTTTCTTTGTTTGAATCAGGTTTAAATAAGGCCCACGCATTGCACTTGGTTACCTTTAAATGTTTCATTGTGCTTAAGTACACACATAACATAACATGTTACCATTGTAACCATTTTAAAGTGTACAGTCCATTGGCGATAAGCACATTCACACTGTTGTGCAGCCATCACCACCATTCATTCCAGAACCTTTTCATCTTCCCAAATGGAAACTTTGTACCCCTCAAGCCCTAATTCCCCATCCTCCTCCCTCCAGCCCGGGGGAACCACCATTCTGCTTTCTGCTTCTCTGAGTTTGGCTACTCTAGATACCTTACATAAACGGAATCATACATACGGTATTGGTCTTCTTGTGATGGCTTATATCACTCAGCGCAATGTCCTCAAGGTTCACCTATACTGTAGTACCTTAGCTCTCTTTTACATTGCTTTCAGTCTCTTGGTTCTTCCTCTGTATCTCTTTTCCCCTTGTTATTGAAGAAACTGGGTCATTTATCATATAGAAATTCCCACAGTCTGGATTTAGCTGATTGTATCCCCATGATCCTCTGTCCTCTGTATTTCTTTCTTTCTTTTTTTTTTTATATATCTTCACCTGAGGACATTTTTGCATTTATCTTCAGATAGAGCAGGACGGAGAGAGGGAGGAAGAGAGAGAAAGAAACATTGATATGAGAGAGACACATTGACTGGTTGCCACCCACACGACCCCAACTGGGGCCGGGGACAAACTGCAACTGAGGTACGTGCCCTTACCGGGAACCGAACCCAGGACTCTGGTCCGCAGGCCAATGCTCTCACCACTGAGAAAACTGGCCAGGGCATGTCCTCTGTATTTCTTATAAATTGGTAGTGGATGTAGAGGTTTAATCAGACTTGGGTTTGGTTTGTTTTGGTTTTTTTTGGTGGTGTTGGGGGAGCAAGACTGCTTCCTAGTAGGTGCTGAGTTCTGCAGGAGGCATGTACCTCGGTTGCAGTTTGTCCCCGGCCCTGGTTGGTCGTGCGGGTGGCAGCCACTTGATGTGTCCCTTTCACGTCGATGTTTCTGTCTCTCTCTGTTCTCTCTCCCTCCCATTCTACCTGAACAAAGAATGGAAAAATGTCCTCGGGTGAGGATAAAAAATATATATATTACTATTATAACAGTTTAAATGATTTTAAGTGAATTATATTTCTTAATTACAAATGAGATATAGCATCTTTTCACAATGTTTATTAGACTTTTTTATCATTTCTTCTCTCTTAACATCTTTTTGACCATTTTTATATTGGGTATTTGTCTTTTTCTTGTTAATTTTTGAGAAACTTTGCATATTAAATATTTTAATCTTCTATCATAAGTGTTGCAGATATTTTTCATTTATCATTCCACCTTCACATTAATCATTTTTACCTTTATCTTTTGGGAGGTGGGGCAGAAGTGCTATTAAGAAAATAAGGAGTGTATGGCTCTGAACATGTGTGTGTTCTTTCAGATCATTACATAGAAGTTCTGGAATGCAAAATGCAGTGTGAAGAGAACCTCACCCCAGTTATAGGAGGCTATCCAGTGGAGAAATTTGTGGCTACCATGTATCATTATTTGCAGTTTGCTTATTATAAGTGTAAGTACCCTCTCCTGTGAGATCTTGGGCAAGGGACTTAATCCTTCTGAGCCTCAGCTTCCCCTGCTGTACAAGAGGTACTAACTAACCCTTACCTATGGTGTGGAGAGAATTCATCAAGGTCACATCATTAACCCTAGTGCCATGCTTTGCACAAAAAGGCAGCATGGTGTGGTGACTCAGGGCACAGACCCTGGAACCAGACTGCCTGGGTTCAAATTCTAGCTTTGTCACTTACTTCTCTGTGTCTCAGTTTGCTCATCTGTAAAGTGGACATAATAGCACTAACCTCATATGATTGAGGTGAGGCTTAAATCAGTTGATAGGCATGGAATGCTGCGGGTATTCACACACTGGTACGTCGCTAACTCTATACAGGTGTTTGTTCTTGTCGTCATTATTCCCCTTCGTCCCCATCATGGGCCTTGCTTTCCTGACTGTTAGGGTTTCACTCCAGCTGGCCCTCCCTTAGCTTGAAATTTACCAGTCAGAACATTCCAGGTGGACAGAGGGCAAGGAGTTCAGAGCCCAGGCTTCGGAGCCTGTCTTTTCTGGCTCTTCCTTCTCTCCCTGCGACTGACTTTGCCTAGTGCCACTGGTTTGAGCAGCGGGCACCTTGGCGGTTCAGTGACAAGCACAGGAGGATTATTAGGGACAGTTGCAGCAGGAACTCCTTTGCTCTACTGATGAAATGCCTCAGTCCAGTGGCAGGTGTCTGGCTAGATCCCCCTGGGCTACCCTTCAAACAGGAGCGGCTGGCCTTGGGCATTCAGGATGTCCTGGGAAAGGTGACAGGTCCTTGCCTTCCATTACTCTCCTTCCCCGCTGCAGACATTTCATTCTTGGTTGGGTTCCCTCTTCCTGCACTGGCCCCCCACCTTTTCATCCTGTCTCCTGTTCTCTTCAGGACACACTGGAAGACTTGCCTATGGAAGGTTAAAAGGAAAAAAAAAATTCTATACATATGTCTTTTTTTTTAATTTAAAATTTTTGCTTCTAATCAAGGTTGTGCCTCTGAAACAGTCATTGACACCAGGTCTTCCTGAGTGAGGTCACTTGTGTCTCGATAGTGAACCTGGTCTTCTAGCAGCCTGAATGTCCTCTAAGGACACAATGAAAAGTTTTGCTTTTTAAGTTGGGACATTTCCGAGATCAACAAGAGAGCAGTGTCCTTCCCAGAAGTCCCCATTCATGGGTGGCAGGGATGAGGGTTATTTAGCATAGAGGACAAGAGTCATATTCTCTATAATCTACAAACTTGCTTCCATATGAGGCAGCATTGAGCTCACAGAAGGTCCCAAGAAAATGTGTATTGACTACACTCTAGTACTGAGGGGACAGGCAGTGTTTTTGCTTGTGACGAGCCCTCTTCCTTTTAAATAATTTTTCTTTATTGATTTTAGAGAGAGAGGAAGGGAGAGGGAGAGAGAGAGAGAAATGACGAGAGAGGACATCGATTGGCCGCCTCCTGCATGCCCCCCACTGGGGATCAGGCCCACAACCTGGGCGTGTGCCCTGACCAGGAATCGAACTGGTGACCTCTTGGTGCATGGGTCAACATTCAACCACTGAGCCACACTAGCCGGGCCCTCTTTCTTTAATATAAGTGATTGACTAGTGCTTTCTTTCAAAAAGTCTTGTAGTCCAGGCTTGTTGCAGCAAACCAAACATCTGGGAGCTGTACAGAGAAACATTGAAGCAAATAACCTATCCCCCATCCCCTCCCCTCCCCCAACCCAGTGCTAGCTAATTGCTTTCACTCATCCACACTTGGAAGAGCCCGTTTTAATGAGAATGACAAAAAAAAAATCATGTGCGTGATAAAAAAAACAAACCCAGCAACAACTTATTATGAAAAATTTAAAGCACCTTAGGATGGTATCACGAACTGTAGTCTGTCCATCACCCAGCTTCCACTTTTATCAACACTTTGCTAATATTGGGTCCACAGTTTAAATATTTTCGGTTGGATGAAAACATAAGCTAGTGTTTTCATTTCATTTTCATGAAAAGCTGTGCTGGTACTGCACCGAGCTAGCCTCTGCGCGGGGCCTGGTTCTGCGCACGAAGCCAGAACCCGGGGGGCCGAGAAGTGTACCCGACACTTTCCATTACTCTCCTTCCCCGCTGCAGACATTTATTCTTGGTTGGGTTCCCTCTTCCTGGTCCCTCGAAATCCTCTCATGCTCTGAGAACTGCCCAGTCTATCAGGAACTGTGGCCAAGACTTATAAACACTGGTAGCCAAAACTTCTAGCTTTGCTTATTGCTCCCCAGGAAATCTCTGCTTTCTGGGGTTATAGGTACACAGTTTGAGCAAAATTTACTTCGTGATGTCGGCCTCCTTAAAGTCTGCCCTATCTTGAGCTCCTTCTAGATTACTTACTGCACTAATTTCTTGAGGGTTAGTGTTGTTAATTACACTCGAACCGTTTCCCAGCCCTGCAGGCCTTGTGAATGAGTAAGTGGCCCATAAAACCCTGGTTTTAAAGTTGTCATTACCAGAAACAGCCACTGGGCGGCATGATTTATTCATACCCAGACCTTTAGCAAAGGTAGTGTTCCCGGGTTGTAAATTGAGGTGGAATGTGTCAGAATAAATACCCTGGGGTTTGTGTCTAATCACTTCTTCCTGTCCTCTACCCCTAAGACAAATCCCAACCTTTGCAAAACTATGCTAGTAAAAGTGCTGTCGTAAGTGGGGCAACTCTAAGGAGGGAGGCTGGAGGGAACCTCACTTCCCAGAGGTGAAAAGACCAGGTGAATTCTCAGATCTCTTCCAGCCCAGAGAGTCCACCATGCTTTCGGGTTTTCTAGGTTTGGTGTAGCTATAGGAGGGGCCACCTGGATCTGGGGATTGTGGTATCATCCAAAGGGGACCCAGGCACTTGGGGACCCCAGTGCGGGGACTCGTTTGCTGAGCACATCCTCCTTAACCCCCGCGACCTTCTTGGCCTTGGGACCGAGACTTCGGGTCCAGAGACGGGAGGCCAGCTCAGTTCCCCAGAGGCTGAGGTGGAACACAGGAGGCATTTCTGCAAAGGCATCTGCCTAACAAGGAACTTCCATGTTTCAGAGACCGGTCTGTGACCTGCCCACCCAGGGATGACTCGGTGGGCTGCAGGCTTTCGGAAGGAGGGACTGCCTGCCAGAGGGGCTCATGCGCACCTATTCCTTTAGGAAGCTGCACTTTTTGTTTTTTTAAATATGTTTTTATTGATTTTTTTAGAGAGGAAGGGAGAGAGAGAGAAACATTGACTTGAGAGAGAACATTGATTGGATGCCTCCTGCACGCCCCCCCACTGGGGATTGAGCCCCAAACCTGGGCATGTGCCCTGACCGGGAATCGAACTGGGACCTCTCAGTCCACGGGCGGACATTCAGTCCACTGAGCCACACCAGCTGGGCGGAAGCTGTGCTTTAAGGAAGGGTGGCGGTGAGAGCCATTGATTTCCTGTTCCTCTTTCTCCCCGACCCCAGTGAGCGACCTGAAGAACGCAGCCCCCTGTGCGGTCAGCTACCTGCTCTTTGACCCCAACGACAAGGTCATGCAGCAGAACCTGGTGTATTACCAGTTCCACAGGGACAAGTGGGGCCTGTCTGACGAGCATTTCCAGCCCAGACCAGTAAGAGCCAGTGCGCCGGGCATCACAGTTCCTTCCCACCTCGTCACGCTCACCTTCCAGCGTCTGCTTCGCACGGGAAGAGGGTTATTTCGAAAATGAAAGGAAACTCACTTCATTTCTGTGTTTAACGTTTTACTGCTTTATTCTGATTGTAAACCTGTAAAAATCGTACAGATTTCAAACATTACAGACACATTTTACTTAGACATGAAATTCCCTCCTCACTCCATACTCTGTCTTTACCCCTCCCTGCCTTCAGCTGTACATTTACTCATCCACACAGCCCGTGTTTATTTATTTTTACAGAAACAGGCTCATACTTTGCATCCTGATTTGCATCTTGCTTTGTCTTCCAAACAATTTATTATGAACATGTTTCACATCACACCCATGCTCCTGCTTTGTTGTTACTTATTTAAATTTAAATTTTTTTTATCCTCACCCAAGGACATTTTTGCATTTTTCTTCAGATAGAGCGGGAGGGAGAGAGGGGAGAAGAGAAAGAGAGAAACATCGATATGAGAGAGACACGTCGACTGGTTGCCACCCACACTACCCCAGCCGGGGCCAGCGACGAACTGCAACCGAGGTACGTGCCCTTAGCAGGGTCTCTCTGGTCTGCTGGCCGACGCTCTAACCGCTGAGCCAAACTGGCCAGGGTGTTTGTTATTATTTTTAACAGCTTCGTGGTAGGCTCGTTTATGAATGGGCCATCATTTAATTCCCACGATGGACGAACTCAGGTTCATGTGTGTTAGGAAACTCCATGGATTATATATTCCATTCAAAAGGTCTTTTCTAAGTGATCTTTGTTCTTAACTTTACTTTCATCAGGATTTCTGTAGGCGGTCCTGCTTTGCCATTCACACATCTTCCTTCATCCCCCCCCCCCCTTTCACTGGGGGTTGGCCACTGTTGTTGATGTTGTTGTTGTTTAAGTGAGATATAATTTAAATACAGTAAAACTCACACTTCGAAAGGGCACAAGTTAGGGTTTTAGTCTATTCACCAATTTACGCAACCACGACCACCAACTCATTTTCAACATTTTCATCACCCCAACAGAACCCCCGTCCTCTCCTCCCTCCCCTGGTTCTGACGTTGAAAGGCCTGTCATGTGCGCGGTTCTGTTTGTCTCTGAACAGGAAGCAGTTCAGTTCTTCAACGTGACCACCCTCCAGGAGGAGCTGTACGACTTTGCGAAGGGAAACCTAATGGATGATGACGAGGTAAGTTTTCGTGGGTAGCACACGTGTGTCTAAGCATCACTCACGTGTGCTGAAGTCACTGGGAGGCGAGTCATCCCCGAACGAAGACACAGAGGGGACCTTAGGAAAGCAGTTCATGGGTGTTTTGCGGGGAGTCAGCACTGGCCCGGGTACGAGCGGCTTCCTAGGAGCTCAGGCTGCAGTGCGGGGCGTGCGGGCGACGCTCTGGGGATTCGTCACAGGAGCCGCCAACCATCTTTTTCTGTTGTTGTTGTTTTTCAGGAGAAATTGGTGAGTTCTTTTTTTTAAAATTTATTGATTTGAGAGAGAGAGGGAGAGAAACATTGATTTTTTTTTCGGTTCTATATATTGATGCATTCAGGAGTTGATTCTTGTTTGTACTCTGACTGGGGATCGAACCCACAACTGTGGTGTATCAGGATGATGCTCTGACCAGCCGAGCTACCCAGCCAGGGCAAATTTTGTTCTTCCTGATGCTATTTAAATGGAGTTGTGCCCTGGCCAGTTTGGGCTGCGGACCAGAGAGTCTCGGGTTCGGTTCCCGCTAGGGGCACGTACCAAAAACCAAAATAAATAACTAAATAAATAACTAAATAAATAAATAAATAGAGTTTTCTTTTTTAAAAATATTTTTCTTTATTGATTCTAGAGAGAGAGGAAGGGAGAGAGAGAGGGAAACATCGATGAGAGAGAACATCGATTGGCCACCTCCTGCAAGCCCCCATTGGGGATCAGGCCCACAACCTGGGCATGTGCCCTGACCAGGAATCGAATCGGTGACCTCTTGGTACATGGGTTGATGCTCAACTACTGAGCCACACTGGCCGGGCTGGAGTTGTTTTCTTTATTTTATTTTATTATTATTTTTTTAATGCTCATCTGAGGATATTTTGCCATGTATCTTCAGATAGAGTGGGATGGGGAGAGAGAAACATCAGTGCGAAAGAGACACATCGACTGGTTGCCTCCCGCATGACCTTGATCAGGGCCAGGGATCAAACCACAACCAAGGTACATGCCCTTGATTGGAATCTAACCTGAGACTTCGGTCCATGGGCTGACACTAACCGCTGAGCCAAACCGGCCAGGGCTGGAGTTGTTTTCTTATGCTTATTTTCCCACTGTTAGTTGCTAGTATATAGAGACACGAGATTTTTATGTGTTGATATTGTACTCCTGCACGTCACTCTAGCTTTCTGTTTCCTCATCTGTGACATGAGAGAGCTTTACTGAGTCTTCCTGATAAAAAATACCCAACAAAGTAGGAATAGAAGGGGAACTTGCTCATCCTGACAAAGGGCACCACAAAAATCCCCAGACAACCCACAGCTAACGACATACGAATGCTGAGACAGCCCGGCCGGCGTGGCTCAGTGGTGGAGCCTCGACCCAGGCACCAGGTGGTTGCAGGTTCGATTCCCGGCCATGGCACACGCCCAGGTTGTGGGCCCCATTCCCAGTTGGGGGCATGCAGGAGGCGGCCAGTTGATGTTCTCTCTCATCGATGTTTCTCTTTCCCTCTCCCTTTCTCTCTCTCTAAAATCAATAAAGAAAAAAATGCTGAAACAGAATAGTTTTCTTCTGAGATTGGGAACAAGACAAGGATGTCCACTCTCTCCGTTTCTATCAGACATTGTGCTAGAGGTTTTAGCCAGGGCAATTAGTATAGAAAAATAAATAAAAGACATCCAGACGGAAAAGGAACTAAAACTGCCACTATATTCACAGGAAATGTGATCTCGCAGTGTCCTTGGTCAGGTTGAGGAAGTCCCCCTTCAAGTCCTACTTTGTTGGGTATCTTTGTCATGAAGATTCTGTAAGGCTCTCTCATGTCACTGATGAGGAAACAAATTCAGAAAAGTAACCCAGGTCGGGTCCTGGTTCTCAAAAAGCCACAGGTCCAGAGTGTTCCTGTGGGATAACGGGAAGGGGTGGAAATGTGGGGAGGGAGACGAAAGAGGAGCACTGAGCAGGGTCGTGTGGCTGGACTGTCCACGTCACACAGGCCACCTGTGGGGGCTGCAGAGCACTTGGCTCCAAGTTCCCATGTGGTGGAAGCCGGTCCCTCCTTGTCCTCTGGGCCCAAGGACGGGAGGAGGGCTGCTGTGTCCCAAGCGGGCGGCTGGTACCGCCCCTGGAAACGGTCTGCTCACCGCACTTTCCAGTCCGCAGCCCACTCAACAGCGGCGTCCTGTCGTCTCTTGCAGGGAGAGGTTGTGGAGTACGTGGATGACCTCTTGGAGCTGGAGACCAGCTAGTCCACAGCAGCCAAAGACATTTCCCTTCGAAGTTCAGGAAACACAGATTCTTTGTCTTTTCCCCCCCAAAGCTCAAGTTGTTGATACCTCAAAGCCTTCTCTTTACTCTATGAAGTGAAAGGGAAGCCCCATCTCTCACTACATATAACAAGGGGTGAGCCTGCCTTTTCTGTGTTCACACCTGCCTCCCCATCCTTACACCTGCCTCCCTATCTTCACACCTGCCTCCTCATCTTCACACCTACCTCCCCACCTTCATACCTGCCTCCCCACCTTCACATCTGCCTCCTCATCTTCACACCTACCTCCCCACCTTCATACCTGCCTCCCCACCTTCACATCTGCCTCATCTTCACATCTGCTTTCTCTGTGTTCACACCTGCCTTCTCCATGTTCATACCTGCCTCCCCATATTCACACCTACTTTCTCTGTGTTCACACCTGCCTCCCCATATTCACACCTACTTTCTCTGTGTTCACACCTGCCTCCCCATCTTCACACCTGCTTTCTCTGTGTTCACACCTGCCTCCCCATCTTCACACCTGCCTTCTCCATGTTCATACATGCCTCCCTACCTTCACACCTGCCTCCCCATCTTCACACCTGACTTCTCTGTGTTCACACCTGCCTCCCCACCTTCACACCTTCTCCATCTTCACACCTGCCTCCCCATCTTCACACCTGTTTTCTCTGTGTTCACACCTGCCTCTCCATCTTCACACCTGCCTTCTCCATGTTCATACCTACCTTTGTCGCCAGTTTTCCAATGTTTCCCCCCAGACAAATCAACATTATTTTTTAAATAAGAAAAATACTGCTAAAAGATGATAATTGTGAAAACCTACTTTGACCTTCTTGCTCTTCCAGATTTTAGTCTTTTTTATCCCCTTGCCCTGATCCAGGAAAGCTGGTGGAGGACAAAGGCTAAACGTCTCCACATCCCATGACGGTCTGCACAGGGTCTGACCTGCAGCATTCTTGGCGCCCATTGAAAAAGAAGTTGGGTAACAGTGTACAGTACTGAAATGTGGCTTGGGCCCAACACTTTTGCACCTCCAAAGTCGATTCCAGTTGAGGACAATTATCAGTCTCCGAGTTGGAAATGGAAGAAAGCAGAGGGAGTCTAGTTTCACTTGTTCGTTCAATAAATATTTATGGAGCACCTGCTGTGTGCTAGGCATTGATCTGGCACTGAAGATACTGCACCGAATGAGAGAAAAAGAAATCCCTGCCCTCGTGGAGCGTACATTCTACAAGGAGAGACACAAATAAACAAGAATATATGCAAGAGATCGAGGGTGATAATTGCTATGGCAAAAAATAAAGCAGGGAAGGGGGTACGGAAGCCTGGAGATGAGGCTGTCAAGCAGGGTGGTCAGGGAAGGCTCCGCCAAGGTGACAGCAGAGCAGACCTTCGGGAAGCGGCTCTCAAAGCATTGCAGGCAGAGGGGACGGTGTGTGTGCAGCACTTCACCATGGGCACATGCTTGCTGTGGCCAGCGAACAGCGAGCAGGCCAAGGAGAGGGCGGGCCAGGGGAAGAACAGAAGAAGAGGCTCGAGAGGTATAATTATAGGGGGTCGGGGAGAGGACAGTTGGCTACGGGTCTTGTTGGTCCTCTGCATGAGATGGAAGCCCCTGGGAGGTTTGAGCAGATGAGTACCTTGACTTAATATTTTATAAGGGTTATTCTAGCTATCATAGTGTGAAAAACCAGAAAGTGAGCCAGGTGGAAACAGGGACATCAGTTGGGAGGCTACTGTGAGATTCCAGGCAAAGGGAATACAGGCCCGGGTTTGGGTGGTAGTGGTAGAAATGATGTCACGTGGCCAGACTACATTTATTTTGAAGCAGGGCCAAGGGGTTTGCTGGCAGATTGGCTGTGGAGTGTAAGAGAAAGAGGGGCTAAGGGCGGCCTCCAGGTTTTGGGCCTGATTAACGGGAGGGATGGAGTTTCCATTCACTGAGCTGGGGAGGATGGGGGATGGGTAAGGAATGTATTGTCAAGCAGGCTAAGGTGGGATGAGAGGTTCAGGCTGCAAGTAAAATTTGAGTTTTCTCGGGTCAGGTCATCAGCAGAGCCTGAGACAGGGGTCTGAATACACGTGGTTAAAGACTCCATCATTTACTGACTTCCCTGGGGGCAGGTCTGCCCGTCTCCCTTGAAAAGGGGTGCGGACCACTGGCAGCCAGCAGGAGGCTCAGAGAGAAGGAGGCAGGATGTGGGTGCCCGCCCTTGAAGGGGATCTGGGAGGAGCATCATAGCGCCCTCTACTGAGTCATCTGCATGTAAATGGTACTAAAGCCCTGAGGCTGGACAGTGGCCTAAATTGTATGTATACACTGAGAAGCAAGAGAAAAGGGCCAAGGACAGAGCCGGGGTCTTCTGGACAATGAGAAACCCACCAGAGAGACTGAGAAGGAGCCGCCTTTGAGGTCAGAGAAACTGGAGCCTGGGGGTTCTGGGATGGGAACTGCCTTGATTCACCCTTATTCCCTCCTCCAGCAAGCCACACAGTCCAGTTGGGACCTCCGGGGATGGAGGCAGGAAGAGGCAGGACTCTCCCAGGGAGGAATGAAGGGACATACAGTTTGGGGGCTTTAGTGTTAGGATGACTAACGGGCGATGGAAAACTCACCTTTTTGCTTTGCGGGGTTCCTTCCCCCCCCCTCACTATCCCGACCGCTGGGAACTCAGATGTACCCTGTTCTCCGGTACTCCTGCTCCTCGCTCCCTTTCTCCTGAAAGCACTTTTACCTTCACCAAGTCCTCACGTTGAGGTCTGCCAGGCTACCCAGCTCGGTGGCCTGCTGCCGTGGCTTCGCTGGATGGCCTCGTCGGCCGTCTGCTCCCGGGGGCTGCGTGGCCAAAGGAGCGGGTGTTGTTGGCATGTTGATGGCGGCACCCCAGCCCACGGAATGCTGGGTTCTCCTTTCTTCCCTTGTCCCGCCCTCTGCTCCCCCAGAGGAATTTCCTTTTGAAGCCAGTGGGGAAGAGCGTCACGGGGCAGGACTACAAAGCAGAGGGGGACCCAGTGAGTGGACGCCTCCCCAGGATCCCTGAGTCATGGGGGGTGCACCCCGCAGCTGTGTAACTCCCCAAAAGCTCAGGCTGCAGGGGCCCTTCCCAGCCCAGGAGAAGATGCAGAGCCCGCCCAGGGCCAGGCTGGGCTGTGCCGTCTGACACTCCACCTCTGCGCCTGCAGCGCCCTCCTCTGTCCTTTGCCTTTGGTGCTGAGCCTGGGCTGAGCTTTTTGTGGATGTTTTTCCGCTGATTGAAGGCTGTAGAACTGAGTTATTAAACTTTTTATTTCAAAGGAAACCAAACCAATCTTTAAAAAAAAAAAAAAAAAAGTGAGCCGATTTCTCCAAACCTACCATGAAACCCCAGTGTGCAACCTCAATCCGGCGCCTCCCTGGACGGGTTTCTTGGAAGAGCCTAGAAGATTCCTGGATTGAACCTCAGGGGCCCAGCATCAGTCTGGTCTGTCTCGAAAAAACACACATTTGTAAGCTTTGTGGGAGTTTCCAGACCCGCCTAAGGTGCCTCCCTTGCCCTCTGACCCACCAAACAGTCGCTTCGTTTGGTGTCCTCAGGCTGGTCCACCCAGGGAGGCTGCCCACCCCAGGGGGCAGGGGAATCTGTCCAGCCCCTTTGCCACTCTGGTGAGCCAGGCAGGGGCACCCACTGGGTAGAGTCTAACAGCTCCCCACTGTGGCCGCTGTTAATGTTCAGCCTTTAGAAGTAAATGACTGAGGTTTTGTGTGTACATTCAGGTTTAAAAGGCACTAATTGTCTGAAATGTCACCCCTGCCAACATATTCAACATACTAATATCTTCCTGAGTCCGAAGACTATTTACTGCCACAAACCTATTGTCTTCACCTGTGGGATCCCGGAGACCCACTGGGTACGCTGACCACAAAGGCTGCCTTGGGAAATGTTCTTTTAGGAGTTCTTACCAAGGGAATTGTGAGAGCACAAAAATTGTATTGAACCAAACTCGGTGGCAAACAGAAAATGATTTGTTACATTGTCAGTGGGGAAGGGTTTATTATGACTGCTGGTGGGATAAACAGTGGCTGGTTTCTGCCAACATTTATGGAAATAACGTTTTTAAGTTTTAAATGTGAGCTGTAAACCTGAGCGCCTTCAGCTTTTTTTTTTTTTTAATTCAATACTTAAACTGTGGGGAGAAGGTGGATTGGTGCCAGAGCAAACATTCTCATTTAATAGTGTTTGCACATGGAACGACAACACAGTTTGTAGCGAGGCGTTGAGAAAAACCCACAACTAACCCTTCATCGCAGCTGTCTGAGCTCTTGGTCATCTGCCATCCCCAGACAGCGACTTCTTTTTGCTGGTGACTCCAGGCTTGAATGACTTAGTGTGGAGAGTTTAAACGATATACAAGGCGGGGGGAAAGGGAAAGGAACCCTAAATAAGCCTCAGCCAAAGGTTTTGTGCATTGGACTTCCTGGGCCTGCAGCGGGGCAGGGCTGTTCCCCACCCCGTGCCCTGCAGGCACGACAGCCCAGCTTTGCCTTCACTGACCCTCTCCCACCCCCGAAATAAGAGTCAGGAGCGGAGGGGGTTGTGCCACAGTACCTAACATTGCTCCCCCCACCCCACAAAGATCTGGCTTTGGTGGTTGTTTTTTGTTTTTGTTTTTTTTAATCCTCACCCGAGGATATTTTTACATTTATCTTCAGATAATGCGGGAGGCAGAGAGGGAGGAAGAGAGAGAAACATCGATGTGAGAGAGACACGTTGACTGGTTGCCTCCTGCACAACCCCAACTGGGGCCGGGGACAAACTGCAACTGAGGTACGTGCCCTTAGTGGGAACTGAACCCGGGTCTCTCCAGTCCACCGGCCGATGCTCCAACCGCTGAGCCAAACTGGCCAGGGCTGGTGGTGGTTGAATAAATGAACTGGCTCACTATCCCTTGGAGCTGGTAGGATAAGATACTGGTGCCTCATTTTACAAGAAAAGAATAGGAAGAGATGAAGGAATTTGGCCAGAGGTACAAGGGCAATCCCAGTGGTTTATCGTCCAGGGTGGCGGTCAGCCGGCCAGACTGTAAAGGTTGCTGATGTCTTTTCCACCCCTCCTTGGGGTAGGGCAGTTTATACATTCTCAC